GTTGTGATTACACTGTATCGCACAGTTGCACAGTCCTTTGAGGAAAAGGGGATCTGGGGGTCCATACTAGGAAAAGGGAGGAGTAACTACCTAGAATCATTAGTGTGTGCTGTCAACATGTCATTAATCCATCTACCTCAACTCAAAAAGCATGAAAGTCTCCATACTGAAGAAATGAAACCAAGTTAAACAGACTGTCCTGGTTGTTATCTCTTTCATTGTTTCTGCCTGGAAATGATTTCCTGTGACTCAGTGTGTCAGCTCGTGGCATCCAAACTGACTCAGCTTGTGTGGTTCCAGAGACGACTCCATCCCGGTGCTGCTCTCTGGAGCCTTCCCTGCTCCTGCTGGGGCTGAACAAACCCGGGTTCACATCTGCTCCTGCTGTTCCTGTGCCATCTCCTGCAAGGGAGCTAGCGGTTGCCTCTGCTCCACACAGGGTATAGAAATGAGGCACTGGAGATGGCAACTGGCACCTCAAAGAAGTCCTAGGAGAATGGGTAACGATGGCCAAATGGTGCTACCTAGTTTTCAAAAACACAAAAAGTAAAAGAACGATGAAAACACATGAGAGAAAACAGACTGAGTTTAGTTCAGTGTTTATGTGTTGATAGTGTTTGGAGCTAGACTGAAAAACTTAGAGCTGGTGGTTTCCAGAGGCAGTGACAGCCCCTCTCTCAAGCTTAAGCATTCTACGGCCCATGGGCTGTGCAGGCACAAGCAGAGTGTGACCATGAGGCAAACCAGGACAGGGAACTGATCTGGCTGAAAACTAGCCATGCTTGCTGGCTCAGCTTTCAGCTGGTTTAGGTGCCTGACCTGGTTCACCAGTCACTTGTGCCAACCTAGGGCAGAAGAAGGAGTGTGGAAATGAGCGGTCACACAAATCCATGTGGAGTGTGATGAGTGGCTAAGAGCACTGCTGGCTACAGAACCATGGCCAGCAGAGACAGTTGTGCACAGCGGAGCTGAAGGCCCAAGGGAAGATCTGGTTCTGACTCACTGTTTCCTAGCTGGGCATAGCTCAGTGCTGGGGGAAGTCTGAGGAGGAACTGAAATGCTAAAACCTAAGCTGCTGTGAAAAGCTGCAATCTGGTATCAGAGGGATGTGTGCAAAGCATAAGCTATCCTTCCCAGGGAAAATGCTGGGCTGTTTCTCCAAGCCTGTCTGTCACACCAAATTTGTGTCTTCTTTGTCCTGTGGACAGGACCCTTCTCTTTCCTTAGACACATTTTCTCAGCTGCTGAGGAGGCTGCAGTTATCCCCTGTGGAGCAAATGGTGAGGAAAATCTGACTGGACCTATATGGCCAAGGCCTCAGAATGGGACAGCAGTCCGAACGGTGAACTTCCAGAAGCCATTCTCTGACCACGTAATTCACATAATTCAAAACAATGGACATTGAAGGGAGGGGAGTCATGATGCTGTCAAGCCTGTGTCAGTGCCAGCTCACCTGAGATGTCAGGAGGCAGTGAGGGAGCTTTATACCCTGGCCGGCAGGACTGTTCCATGCTCCAGTGGCTTTGGGCACACTCATTACCCATTTTTGCCTCTCTCTCTCCAACTCTTTGTTTTGTGCTTTCCAGTTTGCATACTCAAATGAGGCCAAGCTCCCTCAGGTGATAATTTTCCTGTCTTGCATCTTGCCTTGTCAGTTAATTTAATCTAATTCTTCTAATGTAACATCGCCTGAATGCAGGAGCCATTCACACAGTTTCTCTTGCAGTCCTGTGGTGGGACTGCATTCTGAATCCCTTCCCAGCTACCAGTGTGGGAGAAGAGCAATGTTCCTGATGTGGTGGTCACTCAGGCAGCAAAAACAGGCTGGTTTCAGAGGAACACACTCACAGTAGCTATGTGCCACTGAGTTCAGCAAGAAGCTGGAGAGGTTTGGAAGCAGTGATTTACATTCTGCTCCCCATTTCAGATTCCCATACCAAGTGTGCCTGCGTTCCAGCCATCCACCCCCATCCCTGAGCGCCTGGAAGCTGTGCAGCGCTACATCAGGGAGCTTCAGTATCCTTTACTGTTACCTTAGTCACTGGTGTGACAACCCAGGAAGAGGGAGCAAGGGACTTTCCTTCCCTGTGAAGAACAGAAAAGCTCATTCTGTTGTAGTTGGAGAGGAACTGAAACTTGGTCCCTGAAAACAAGAAGCTGGACTTGGGATGATGGTTTGTTTTGCTGCTCTGCTGCTCTATTTCTCTTCTTTTCTGCCCAAGTTACCTTCTGATCCTGTTCACTCCATATAACAAATGGCCATGTTGTCAGCAGCCCTTCCCCACTACCCACCATTCTAGCAGAGAGACAGGTCTCAGGTGGACTACAAACTGTGTTGCCTCACTTTTAAGGCACAGGTGAGCTATGGTGCTGAGAAAATTTCCTCTCAGGTCATCCTACTTGAACACTCCTCTCTGCAGCTGTCCAAAGGGCACTCAGTCACCCTGCTTTGTGCATCTGTGGTATCCTACCCTTTATATGCAGAGCTGCCTGTGTGCCTGTGTCCTGGGAATGAGATTTCTCCATCCCTGCTGTGCTAGACAGCAGGTATGTGCCATGCAAGCACAGCCTGATCTCAATGATGAGATAGAGAGCTAGGTCTGGCTTCAGCTCTGAAACAAGGTACAGTGGCAGACCTTTTGGCATCTCTCACCCATCTGAGTTGGCTGTGCTCTGGATTGGGTCCCAGTCTTAGAATAAAGTACCATGAATGTTTCAATGCTCCGTGCACTCTTATGCAGACCAGAGCAGGCAGAGATCAAACTTCTGTTCTGGTAACTGTAAAGCTGAGCAGAGCACATGCTGTTGGCATGGCCCTTTGGGAAATGGAGTGGAACCCTGTGTGTCGGGAGGAGAAAGAGAAGAATTGACAAGAAAGAAATACAGTGGAAGTAAGGAGGGGCTATAAATGGGAAAAGTGCAGGAGAGGGAGGGGGGGACTTTGTTGCATTGCTGTGTATTTCTGCAATCATGACTTTGCTGTGAGAATAGTGAGTAACATTAAAGTCCTTCACACAGGTTTCCTTCAAACTACTTTACAAGCTTCCAAGCCCTTAACTTCTTGCCTTCAGGTACAATCACACTGGGACACAATTCTTTGAGATTAAGAAGAGCAGACCTCTGACTGGGTAAGTGCTGGCGGCTCCTGCAGCATTTAATCCTTGCTTTAAGTTGTTGGGTCATTGCTATACCCATAGCTTATTTTTTCATCCCCTGGCCAATGTCTGGGTGGCACTCAGCTTTCAGTACTGCAGCTCCATCCCACTTTACGTGACTTTATTTTCTGTTGCTTGGGGCATGGCAGGGCAGAGCTGCGTCTGGCCTTTCTCAAGGACAAGAGTAGGTTTTGCTGTCATGAATCAGTATATCCAGTAAAATAATGATGTAAATGTATTTCAAAGATGCACAGATTCTGCCTGCTTCTAGCTGGAATATAACTACATGAAATTCTGATGGATTCTGAAATTAGGTCCTGCCCTAAACAAGCTTCATAAAAGTATCTTTGGTCTAACTTCATAGCTCCTGTCAGCACCTCTGCAGAATCTAGGCTCACTAAACTTTCGTCATTTCATACTTTGAAGGAGAAGCAGGATTCTCCTGACTGCAGACTTTGGGAAGAGCTGTGTCCTGTAAGCTCCTGGAGATAAGCACCTGATGTTCATGGACTCTCTTGGCCAGCATATTGAGAGTCTCCCAAGACTGGCTTCTTACTATTGGTCTATTCCATAGACTTATGTGACTTCAAATGTCTTGTGCTGTAATCAGTGCAGTCTCCTCCACAGTATTTGTTGAATAGAGAGTGGGGCTGATGCCAAAGAAGATGGCTTCACTGTCCTTGAACCTTGTGAGGCAAATATTGCTGGCTTTTTGTCTTTTGAGGTCACATTTGTTTCCATCCAGAACTCACTGAGCCAAGTGCTGTGGTCTCCCTGAAAACAGAGGCTGGCCTAGTAGGCAGCTGTTAGTAGCAACAGCATGTGGTAGAGACCTGATTTGGATTTAATATCTTCCTAAGGAAGGTATTTTCCTCTGTTCCCTGTCCTCAGTGGGCCACCTTCTCTCCTGGAAACCTACCTTACACACATAGTGCAAAAAGGCTGAACTGGCCATACTTGCATAGCCCAAGCCCTCTAACTGTCCTCGTCTTTCCCTTGTCCCACTCTGCAGGCTGATGGACCTGGCCAAAGAAATGACCAAAGAGGCCCTGCCAATAAAATGCCTGGAAGCTGTGATCCTGGGAATGTATCCTTTCCTCTTGGAATTGTGCATGTCTGCTCATCCTTGTGTTTTCTCCTTTGCTCCCTTATGATGCTTTGAGGCTGCTGATGATATTGTCACCAAGCCCCACATCCCTCTGTTTTACCTCCCCCGTTCTGCCCCCCAAAAAACACCAACAAAATCCAAATCCAAGCAATGCTCTGAATTGCTTCTCCCCCAAGAAGGGTGGTGCTGCTTGGTGCCACTTTTCATGTGAGTGAAAGATGCAGGAAGGATGTAAGGAACATCTAAAGAGGGGCAGAGCTAGAGTTAGGTTAGGAAGTCCTTTGTGGATAACGTTGTTCCCACACTGCAATGTTGCCTGCACGTGTTCTACATTAAAATAAGTTAAAGATCATCCCCAACTTCTAATTATGGTCTATGTCACTTTACTATTATGCCTAACACTGCCTGCCAACTTAGGCGATATCGTTATTAATTCTAGACATGTGCCACCTTTAAGTACACACTTCTTCTAGCTATCTTGCAGGCTCAGTCTATGTCACTCAGGCTATAGATTCTTGATGCGTGTTGGCAAAGCCACCTGGGAGGGGCAGAGGTGGCAACTGAATTGTTCAGAAGGGTAGTCTGATGAGGATTTTGTCCTGAGGGTTCCTGGGTTTGTGTGTGAAATAGTAGCTAGTAAAAGCGATTAAAATACACTGAGGAATAATGCTACAGTATTAGCAGTTGGGGAGCTATGGAATACAGTAAGTATGCTCAAGGTGTTAGTGTTGCAATTTCTGCATCACAAAACTGCCTCGAAATCAAGTTCCCTTTGTTGACTGTCTTGTTGAAGATTTCCCCATGACGCAGACAAAAGTAGGGCAGCTTGTAATGAGCTGGACTCTTGATCTGGAGGAAAACTCCTGCCTGTGTGATGCTTGAATCAGTGGTGAGTCTGCTGAGCAGGCTGGGAGGGTTTGGAAGGAGGCACCTCCTCAAAAAAATGGTATCACTGGTTGTTTCCTGAATAGTGGCTGCTGTCAGTTACCTCACCAACAACATGACCACGCTGGACCGTTTCCCCATCAGCTTCAAAACCCACTTCTCAGGGAACTACTTCCGACACATCGTGCTGGGGGTGAACTTTGGAGGCCGCTACGGGGCCCTGGGAATCAGCCGGCGTGAGGAGCTCATGTACAAGGCGCCCGTCTTCCGCACGCTGAGCGAACTCGTCTTTGACTTCGAGGAGGCCTATCGCCGCTGCTGGCACACCCTCAAAAAGGTGAAGCTGGGTCACTGTGTGTCCCATGACCCACACAGCGTGGAGCAGATTGAGTGGAAGCATTCCATCCTGGATCTAGACAAGCTAACCAGGGAAGACTTCCGCAAAGAGCTTGAGAGGCATGCCCGTGACATGAGGCTGAAGGTAAGCAGCAAGGATGGAGCAGTTTTCTGCTTGGTACCGCTGTCGTGCCTGGCTGATGCTCTGCTGGGGAAATAAAGTGGCAGGAGGCTTTCCTAGATGGTGGTGGAGTAGAGGGTGAAATGGAGGCTGGGGCTCTTTTCCTTTGTATACATTTGTATATATTTTGTATTTGACCCCTGGGAATTATCTAGTCCAAGACCCCTGCTAAAGCAGGTTCACGTAGAGCAGGTTGCAAGGAGACTCCACAGCCCCTCTGGGAAGCCTGTGACAGGGCAGTACCACACTCAAAGTAGAGAAGTTTTTGCTTATGTTCAAATGGAGCTTCCTGTGTTCTAGTTTGTGCCCATTGCCCATTGTCCTATTGCTGGGCACTACTGAAAATAGTCTAGCCCCATCCTCTTGATGGCCACCCTTTAGATACTGATAAGCATTGATAAGATCCCCTCTCAGTCTTTCCCAAGCTAAACAACCCCAAGTCTCTCAGCCTTTCCTCACAAGAGACATGTTCTAGTCCCTTAACCATCTTCATAGCCCTCCTTGGACTCTCTCAAGTAGTTCCCTGTCTCCCTTGAGCCAGGAAATCCAGAACTGGACACAGTACTCCGGATGTGGCCTCACTGGGGAGGAGTAGAGAGGGAGGAGAATATCACTCAACCTGCTGGTCTTACTCTTCCTAATGCACCCCAGAATACCATTGGCCTTCTTGGCTACCTATTGCTGGCTCGTGGTTAACTTGTCCACCAGGAGTCCCAGGTTCTTCTCCTTGGAGCTGCTGTGCAGTAGGTCAATCCCTAACCTGTACTGGTGCATGGGGTTAGTCCTACACTTGCCCTTGCTTCATTAGGGTCCCCTCCAACCAACTCTCCAGCCTGAACAGGTCTCACTGAATGGTAGCACAGCCTCCTGGTGTGTCAGCCGCTCTGAGTTCCATATCATCAGCAGGTGTGCTGAGGATACGCTCTGTCCCTTCACCCAGGTCATTGATGAAGATGTTGAACAAGCCTTGCCTTTTTGTCTCTTGTTCCAATGTAACTGATTGTTGTTAGGCTTTGTGTTTTCTGGTTAACTCGTATTGGTTTTCTGCTCATGTTGCTCTTCAATTTTCCTGGCAGATTGGCAAAGGAACTGGACCACCATCTCCCACCAAGGACAGAAAGAAAGATGTTTCCTCCCCACAAAGAGGTCAGGCCAGCCCCCATCGGCGCAACAGCCGCGGGGACCGACGGTGAGTGGAGTTGCTGGGCTGGAGACCTATCTGGAGCATTGCTTTGTTATGCACAGACTCCACCTTGATGTCTGATTATGGCTCCTTCTGATGTCTTACTAGGGTGCTTTATAATAGGGGATGCTTCTCTGGCCTGCAGTAGCATTCTTCCCTAGTCTCTGCCTTTGTGAGTTTATCATTGCTTGTTCCCCCAAAAGCTGGGGAACAGCTAGGCTGTTCGGGTTTTTTTTATTTATTTTATTTTGTCAGAGAGGAGGAAGGCAGCCCAAATAGATAGTGGTCTTGGTAGCTGATATTTAACCTTACACAGGAGTCTGAGCCCTGGTGTCTCACAGACATATGCCTCAAAAAGATTCCAAAAATTGCACTGCTATCAGTGAATAGTTCTCTCTATATTATATATATAATAATAATTTAGCTATATAACAGTCTATAACTATTTAACAGTTCTCTACATACTCTGAACAGTTGTTACCCTCTTTGCTCACAGGCCATCTGGGGAGAAGAAGCCTGCTGATTCCAAAGCCATGCCAGACCTCAATGGGTACCAGATCCGGGTGTGAAGAGAGATGTGCCTTGGGTGCCTGGCTCCACAGACTTCTTGCTGGTCACAGCTGGGACCTGGATCCACCTGCAGTGATTCTGACAAAGGGGACAGGGGATCAGAACAGAGCGCTGATCTTCCCAGGTACTTCCTGGTGGGCCAGTCCCAGAGCTGGATCCCATGGGTCCCAGAGGATTCACCTGCCTGTTTCTGGGAGAGGTGTCTGTCTTAATTCACTGAAACAAGTATTTTAAAAAAAAAAAAAAAAAAACAAAACCAGAAAAAGATCTGTACGTTGGTGTAAGTTTGCTGCAGGAAGAATATAAAATGAGTGAGGTCAGCAGACTTGCTATCAATTTTTTTTTTCATTAACAGCAAGAGGATGAAGCATTTTGTCACAGTGCTTCTTCCCTACCTGCACAGAAGTCTTCAACCCATGCAAGGCCTGCAGGGCTGAGGGAGACATGACGATGGAATGGGATGGGATGGCCCCCACATCTTGTGCAAAAACTCCTGGTTTTGTCATTATGAACACTTTTTTAGCATTTCTGTTGTGAGAGACAGCTGAATTTGCTCAGCCTGAGTTATTGATCATACAAGGGCCTCTCATCCAGAGAAACCACATCTTGTGTGTCTAGTCCTGCCTATTTAAAAGCATTTCATTGTCTCTGAGTAGGTAGACAGTGGGATGATGATCCTCTTTACCCATGGAGATGCTCGTGAGCTGTTGCTGTAAATCCCTTTGTGGCTGAGTAGGTCAGGATATGCCTATGGCATTGCTGTATGAAAACAGGCACGGAGACCTCAGTTGTTCCAGCAGTGGAGGCAGGAGCAGGTGAGAAGCCTGAACTTGGAGTCATCTCTTCATCAGCCTTCTCTCTATTCACTCCTAGTGGCTGCTACTGTGAAAGCTTGCAGAAGGCACTTCAGTCACTGAGGTACAAGTTTTAAGAGTAAATAGTTAAAGAAAGATTTAATGATGTGAACAGGTTTTACAAGCATTTCTCCTTTCCTCAAGGTCTTGCGCTTTCCTCACTGTAGTGTTAGTGCTAGAGTTACAGACGCCTGTTGGTGGGAAGCCCTGCTCGAGGAGATTGCAGCTGCTTTTCTGACAGCTCAGCCTGGAGCCTCCTGAAGGTAGTTTTCTACCCCAGTCCCAGAGCTGTGCTTGTGTTCTGCTTCTTCAGATAGCTGCAGTGTTGAACAGCACCGCTGATGCTGGCCTTCCCCACCAGGCTGGGCTGTGCCTTTCTGCCCGCTCACAGCCTTGACTCTTCCTACACTTCTTTTCAGGGGAGTTGTTCTACTGATTAAGCAGCATAATGCCTGTTAGAAATCTGGAGTGTTGTCTGACCTCTCTTTGAGGCCTAGGGACTGGAAACAGTGGGGTTGCCAGAAGTCAGAACAGCATGGCCTTGAAGTGATCTGGATGCGTGGATCTTGAGGATGCAAAATCTGAGCTTGGGAGTTGCAAGTATCCTTGAGAGAAACTGAGTCTTGTTTTATCAAAGCACTGACAAGGAGCTAAGCTTTCTGAAGTATTACATATTTAATTTTTTTAGAACTGGGCTTGTTCTTTCATGTGAACTTGTTAGAAACTACCAATTTTTTTTAAGTATTGCACCCTTGCATAAGCAGTGCTATTTTGGTGGCAAAGAATGGGTTCTTATCCCCAAACAAATCAGCTCTTCTGTTGAGTTAAAGCAGTGTTAATCCTTGAAGCACCACCCACAAGTGATTTAACTGGGGCCTTGCAGGTTCCTAATTGTGCACCCGTGCCTGTGATGTCACTGGCACTATATCCGTCCTGCTGCGCTCTGTCCGTCCAAGCTCTCTGTAGCATGTACTCTCCTGCTACGCCTTGCAACCAGGACAGTGCCCAGGGAGGAGGCAGAACTTGCTGCTGAGCCGTGATAATGTTAATCCAGAAGAGATGCCAGTTTCCACAGCACACTAGCTACATGAAACAATCTGAAATTAGACAGCAGTAGCAAGCCAAGCAACCATTTGACGGTGTCCTCTGGTCAATTTTGTGTGCCTGTAAATTAGGATATTTAGCGTTGAGGTACTAACCATGATGTTAGCTGTGAAGGTACCAGTTACCTGTAAATCATATGGGCCACTTGGAAGCCACAAACTGCTTTTGCATAATGTTTGCTATGCAGCAGACTAAAAGTTCAGGTGCCACTGTGAGTCATATGATAAATAGAAGCAGCAGTCAGCAAGGGGGACTGAATGTCAGGTTTTATTAAAGTGGATGAAATCCAGAAAAAAAAAAGTTATAAAAGCCACTTAGATAAAACTAGGATGCATCCTCACCATGACTTTGGTTGGTTGGTTAGTTCAGAATAACTAGAAAGCTTTTGAGAATAATTAGCAGTTTCATACAGAGCACATTCAATAGCTGGACAGACTTGAGCCTTTTTTAGATGGAAAGAAGAGGAAGTGTATTTCAGAGAAGAAAACTATGAAACAGATGGGGCAAATGAGGGGTCAGCTGCAAGCTAATGATGCTTTCTTGAGAACAGGGCAAAAGGGATGCTCAGCAGAATGAGATCACCAGGGCAGAATAGCTTAAAACAAAATGCTTTGTTTGACCTGGTAATTAAGCACTTTCCTGCAGGATGTAACTGAGTCCAATAGCTTAGAAAACCAAAGGAAATGGATGTTTAAGGAATGAATGACAGGTAGAGTTCAAGGTCTCTTAATCCTCAGCTGTAGCCAGATAAGAAAATGCTCTTTCAAGATTCAGTTGCACAGTTATGTACGTTAGGAGGCATTTAATTCTTATTATGTATCTAATGTTGTTGATTTCTCAAGATGGACACAGGAGAAGACATGAGCCTTCTGCTAGGGTTACTGTTTCAAGCCTTCTACTGTGGTTCCTTGTGTGGTAGAATTCCTGCCCCTTACTGTTTCTAATGCTTCAGTTTAGCAGATGGTGCAAGAAATGGGAAAACGACCAAACAATTCTTCCCTTCTTGCTGCCCCCATTTTTGCAACAAGATGAATCACTTCAATACAAAGTTTCATTTCCTTGCTAACAAACAAGACAGCATCCCCCTGTGACAGAGAGGATTAGTGCAATCCAGTTTTGTGCTGTAAGAAACCTGAGGGTACAGTGAAAGATGAACTTTTGCACTTCCACTTCTTTCCTTCCTCACCCACCTGCTCTGGCTCTGGTTTGTCTGCCTTTAGCCCTAGGAGAAAAAAAGGCTGGAGATGAGTCTTTTTCACTTTGGCAGTCTTTACAGCTACAGAGAAGGAATGAAAATAAGGAACTGCACTGTAACTCCAACTCCTTGGCACCCGCAGAACAAAAAAGGTGGATCTTGAGGAGTCCTATTAATTATTTAATGTTAAATATTAATATGATCGCTTAAGTAGCTCTGAGGTGTAAAGTTCACTGTTCAAGAGGTCTCACCTGATGTCTGTTCTGCAGTGCAAATTCTTCTGAGCTCTGTGAAAGGGAAGTGCATCCATGGACATAGAAGTGCTAAGGATGGACAGACAATGTCTGTGTTGTATGTGAAATCTAGGTGAGCTTTGAAAGACTTAAACAAATGCTGACCTACTACTAGCAAAACTATTTTAAATGTAATGCAAACCTTGAATTAAGAGTTCCTCTTTATACTTTTTGTAGACAAGTCCGTTGATACCTGGCCAACTGCAGGTTTTTTAAATGGATGAATGGATTAGTAAAACTTTCTGCTACCGTGTGACTCTGACAAACTTCAGCTATTAAAGAGCAGGGCCGGGTGTCCACCCGTCTGTGACACACTAGCCTTTTTGGTTTTTTTCACTCTGATATGATAAGCTAAATGAGTCTTTAGGAACTTAAGTGTTTTAGCTGGGAGTGGAGTGCTTTTTTTCAGTTGACTGTTTTACCTGTGTGCCACTGTATGAGTCTACTAGTAGATAGTATGCTCAGAATAAATGACTCCAGGACTTGAAGCAGTTTCTGCTCACACAGTAGCTCTATTGCTGTTATCAGATCTGCTTAACATGAAAATTTCTTTGTTCTGGGTGGTTTGTTTTTTTTTTTTTGTTTTTTTTTTGTTTTTTGTTTTTTTTTGTTGTTGTTGTTTTTTTTGTGGTTTTTTTTTTTTTTGTTTGTTTGTTTTTTTGGTTGGTTGGTTGGTTGGGTTTTTTGTTTTTTGTTTTTTTTTTAAGTATTTCAGGTGAAAGCCTTAATCGGGTGTCTGCCCCTTAAGGTAGGCTCACATGTGGTGTTGTATAGACTGAAAAATGACTGTCCTTACAATTGTGGAGTTCAAGAAACCATAACAAACAGAAGAATGCTCCTATTGCCAAAGGGCAGGAGTCTGGATTAGATGGGCTTGACCTTCTCCAGGGGCTCTGGCTGATCACTTCAGGTGGTTGCTTAGCATCTCAGTGAAATATTTCAAGTGGTTCCCATGATTAGGCATTCAATATAAGCAGGAAGTGCCCCATGTCCCACGTGTGGTGTGTGTGCAAGTCCAGCTGGATTAACATTGCATATTCCCGTGGGCTTGCGCTGCTCTCCTGACAACATTAAGAACTGCGTTATAGATTTATAACTTAGCCTAAGAAAAGCAAGTGCTATTCTGGCTTGGTGTTTGCTTTGACAGAGCAAGGTGGAGATGGTTGCTCTAAAGCCAAGCTGAACTACTTAGGGAAATTAATATTTTTTCGTCTGTTGGGCAGGTGTTTACTTGTATCACAACCAGTCTTCTTCAGCAGTGCCCTGGCCCTGTCTGCTCAAGAGCAACTCAACTTAGGGCTCAGAAGGCTACTGAATCCCCTGTAATCTCTGCAGAGCAGAGTCACCCTCCAGGTCAGGGTTGAGATGGTGCTAGTGGGACCAGAGTGGTCCCCTTCCATGCACATCAGTATTCTACTCTAGCACTGATAGGGTGCTCCAAAACCATTTACATCTTTATCACTGGTACAGCTCAGAACTAAGAAATGGAAGGTTTCTTTCTTTAGGAACAGTATCATGTGTGTCTTTTTTGTAATTAATCAGTATGGTTCTGT